TGAGGCGGAAAAGCTCGTGCCGGGCTGGGCCGATAGTGTCTTCTGCTTCCACCCGGCGCTCGCAAATGAACTTCCTCCACCTCCGGGGATTTCTGCTTGGCTCCCGGTACGGGATCTTAGCGCATCGGGGTTTCTCATGCAGAAGGAGGCACAGACACATGTTCGTTTGGGAAATACGGACCCGTAAATACGACTCACAGCTTCTCTTAACGCTACAGCTGGTTGCAGAGGGCTCGTTTCTCCATTGGAAGGGTTGGGTCAAAGCCGAAGGCCTGCGGGCTGAGCCTTCGGGTCCCTTGGCCACGTGTTACGCCCTCCAGCTCCTGCCATCTCTCACGCAAACGTACAGCTGAGCCAGGTAGTCGCTCCTTTCAGCACAGTTCAGCCTTGTTTGGGGATGTGGTTTGGGCTGGGCAGGGACTAGAGAGAGAAGCTCAAATATCTGGCATGCAGAGAACTGCCCCGAAACGTTCCCGGTGAAAAGCTCGTCGCCCAGCTCTGCCTCCAGCGGGGAGCACGTCTTTCCTGCGGGGAACCTGCGAGAATCGGTTCCCCGGCTCTCCCCTGCGGCCTTCCTCTGCCGACCGCCCCGCTGAGATATTTAATGAGGTTTCGGCTTGCCCGTTAAAATCAACAACTCAATCCAGGCAACTGGAAGGATGAAATAACTCGAGCAGCTGATGGTAGCCGCAGTCACCTGAAGTCTATTTGCATGCCCTGAAAAGCATTTTCAAAAGCACATACATTATTTATTAAGAGAGCATATCGGAGTAATTTAAATATGGAGACCGACTGTTTTCTTTGCATAAATGAATTTCCACCTTATTCCAATCAGCAAGTCCCTTTCAGCTGTGCGTTTCCGACAATAGATGGTGCTAACGGCGTTTCCCAGCTGCAGCCTGCGCCGCCGCCTGGGCCCGGCCGGCGAGCCGTGGGATGCTGCTGCAGCGGCTTTCCGGAGAGCCCGCTTCGGGGCTGAGTGAGGTCCCGCTGGTCTGTGCGGGGCCTCGGCTGCCTCTGCAAGCCCCATCCGAGCGCGTGACCCTGCCTCGATTCATTCAGCCCCGCGTTTGCTGCCTTTCTACTGAGCGTTTCGATACCAGAAGCCTCTTTTCGTATGACTGAGGCAAAGGGGATTCGAATCTCTTCTGCAGTCGTCCTGCCCTTGGAAGAGCTGCCTGCTCAAATGAGAGCAGCGAGTGGTTGTGTGATGGCTCCCCGCTGGTGTCTGGAGACATCAAGGACGTAGTCAGCTCTTGATGGCAAGACTGGCAGAAGGTGCTCCTGCGTTTTCCCTCTGCTCGGTCCGGCCGTGTCTGTTTCCCCCATCTACTTGTGGGACTGTACGGTGAAGAGGATCAGAGATTTGACCCAGCCTAAAATAAAAAGGACAACGAACAGGTAGGGTTTGGTTTGGGTCTTTGCTGCATCGGTAGAACATGACTGAGGGACAGAGACAAGTGGGAGGTAGCTGCCTGTTTTTCATCACTGAGTTGCTGAGGGACAGAAACGGCATCCTCCTCCTCTGCTCACACTGTGTAGCCACGGCCTCATCACTGCCCTTCACCACAAGGCTCTCTGCTTCTAGGCCCTGTACCCGGTGCTCTTGATTTGGGGTAAAATTGTTGCTGGGAAGAGCAGCATACACCAAAAGAGCATACTTCCAGGTCTGACGGGAAAAGGGAGTGGATATCTTTCCTAAATTGCAAAATACAGGTGAAAGAATTCAAGCCAAAGCCAATATTTGGCAGTACAGTGTCAGGAAACAGAAATTCAAAAGCAAGAAGTCCACAGATCCCCGCAAATGCTGGGGTTTCTGCTGCTGCCTTCAAAGCTAGCAGGACTTTGCTCCTCCTGCGATCCATCTCTTTGCGTCCATGCCTCATGGTACGCAGGAGCGTTAAAGCAGGCACTAAGTTAGGTGAGCGCTGAAATGCCCTTGTCCTGGTGTAAGTTACACCGGGATATTGTCACCTGCTTGGAGCGAGGCCGGAGCAGACAA